ACCATGTATAGAACTGAGCAGGTCCAACAAGATTGTGTTTTCAAACATATCTGCTGGTTGCACTGTATTTATGTATTTTTCAACTGCAATTTCAAAAGGGAAAAGGGAGATGGCGTCTCTTGGCTATTTTATAATAATGATGAAAAAGGTTCTTCATTAAAAGAACAAAATAGGTCAAAAGGACTGTTCCATCAGCATGTCTGCACGGCATTGCTTTCCTCTTGACTGTCAAAACTACAGGAAAAGTGTGGCCTTGAGGTACAGAGACCATTCATAAGAATCCGTCATAATGTTCATTGTTAACCAAGTGCGTCTGTGCGAGGGCAGGTTGACTGAGCTCTTTCTTTAGACGTCTCCATGTGCTCCTTAAATATGTAAAATGTGCTTTTTAAATAGACAAGGCTCCTGTGGACTCACCACCTGCAGGAGGATCAGTGAGGGGCTGGTGCTATGTGTACTGGGTGCGGCTCTGACTTCCCCCACACAACCCAGAAATGGATTAAGGGGAAGAAAATGGATGGATGTGGATATTTTGAAGAAGAAAGATTTGATTATATGAAAGTTACCGAAACTATTTGTTGCTGCTTCAACACAGAGAGAAAGTGCCATAAATGAGAAGTAGCAGACTTTGTTCCTGTGATGTTGAAGTTGTCAGCGCTGAAGAGTGAGCCACAGATGAATGAGACTTCAAGTGCAGGAGCATTGTTGTTCCCTCTCCTTTGCACCTAAAGATGTGGTGCTATTCAGAAATCTTCACGGGCTTCACGTCTCTATGGAATAAAGAAGAACAAAAAAAATCAGTTTGAGAAAGTTTTTGGTTCAACTGACATTTTTTTGGTATTCATAACGAAAATTCAATCCATATCCATGCAATGCATTGAGATGTACGTCCTTTTGAAGAAAAAGTAGCGCAGATTTGTGCTGGTGTGTCATTTTATTTTAGATTGAGTTTTCGTGATACAAGAGAATTTGTTGCGGGACCAGATTGTGAACAATCACAGCGGACCACTGGCCCCAGCATTCTTGAGAAAAGCTACAGGTCTCTCGTTAGCACAGACAGCGGTGGTAAACAAGTGGCGGAGGCTAACCTCCTCGTGTCTTCGTTACCGGTTACTGCTTACTCAGCGAAACAGCCATCCAAAAGAAAGTCTCGTTCTTCTGCGCTTCCCGGGTCAATCATTCTATGGTCACGCCATCCACGTTCAAATGTGCAATCCATATTGAGAGACGTGAGCTCTGTATACATTTAGCACGTTAGCACAGGCTGAGGGGGAGGGGGGCATTGGGGGGCGAAAGCTCCGTGGGTGCGGGGAGGGCGAGCAGAAAGAGCGAGCTCACCGCTCACATTCGAACATTTCTCAAAGTCAGTTAGTGCAGCTTTAAATTTAAGCAGAACCCAAAAAAGCAAAACAGAAGAAATATCCAAGTTAACGATATCAATACTTTGAATGACCCTTTTTTGGTGAGACAGAGAGGGCTCCAAATATGCAGTTTTATAGTTATATAGTCAACCACATTAATGGACATTTATGAACATTTATGGACATTGGTCATCTGCCCCTTATGGACAAATGGCTCGAAGTGTTTTTTATCATTGAATTTGTTGTGTTTGAACGGTTTGATTCTCTGAGATAACTACTGTTGTGATTAGGGCTATACGAGAATACATTAAACTGAATTGAATTGTAACATTAACAATGTACCCAGTATTAAAATCTACAATAAGCTTGGATAAGCATTGCATGTCAGATGGAACCATTCCCAAAAGCAGAGAGCCGTGTTTGTGTTTCCATCACAATCAACTTACCCTCATCACGTTCTGTCACTGGAGCACGTCACGCTTAAACAGCCAACACATCTGGGAGCACGAGGTAGAACACAAACAGCAGAGGCAGTCGAAGAAAGAGACTAACAGGCGGAGGTTTGTCATTGCTTGACATCTGGCTGATCCCACAATCACGCGTCCTTCAGCGTGCAGTAATTGCTCCCTGTGGGACCAATCCCGAGATCACACCTAAATGAATCCGGCCCAAGTTCAGTTTAACCGGAAACAGAGGTGAGAGAGATTTTTTAGAACGGTTACACAGACTATGCATTGTTCTATTCCTCAATCATGCCTGTTTTGTTTCTGTAATCCGGTGAACTGGATCTTCTCTTTGAACATTCAGAAATTACATTGTGTTAAATGTGCTCTGGCTCCTTCCATAGATCTTTGACTGATTCTTTGGCAGAGAATCATTTAAACAACTGCCAGCAATAAATATCATCGCCTTAAAGTGCTTTAACTGTTGCTTTTTCATGAGCAATACATTTTTGTTTTCAAGAGAGGGGGCTATAACACAAAAGCTGTCATATGACAAACAAAGCATGTTTCGAAGCGGTGAACAAGCCAAAAAGAATACACCATATGTCTTCTTAAGATAGTCACTCGGATTCACCAGTCACCAAGAATAACCACCATTGGAAACTGAACTGTGGTTTATCTCCTAGTGCAACAGCGGGGAGAGATTAAAATGAAAATCCCAATCTTATTATTTCAAAATGCTGCCTGACCTTGTTGCTAATGTCATCTGAAGCGCCTTAAAAGATTATTTATGATGAGATGAGTCACATCCTCAATTAAACAACATTTGGTCGTCAGAGATTAAGACCACTTTTACTGTCCCTCTCAGAAGACTGTCAAGGCTGGGCTTCTGCAAAGATCCATTCTGCAAGACTTCTATGGACAACGTTAATTTCTGATGTCAACCTGTAAAGACTACATTCAGATATATCGGTTGGAAGGAAGGAAGGACGGTTGTGGTGATTCATATGGTTAATGCTGTTGTACAACACTTTTAACAGCTGGAATTGGAAGCGAGAGAGGTTGCATGTTAATCAGTGAGTTTTTACACTGAAAAAATGATAGAATATTAGGTAATAATTTCTTTTATCTTAGTTTGAGTACATTCTGACTGTCGTAAAACAAGATTTGCCAATGCCACAATCCATTTAGTCTCATTTTAAAAACTATTGCTTTGTTTTGTCATTCTAAGCAAGACATTTATTGTATCTTTTTGAAAAATCTTGTTTAAAGGCAGTCCAAATATGCTCAAATTAAGATAAATGTTTCCTAATTCGAGCAATTTTGGACCAATTTTCCATCACTTTTTGAGCACATTTTACAGACCAAGCTTACGATGTGACATGTAAATTTCTCCTGTGTGAGATCAATAAGGTCCAAAAGCGCTTATACCTTGCCCAGAGTTCAAATATGTTTCCATTCTCTCCACAAACTGCGATGACGGAAGCAATAAGAAGCCGAACACACTGGCGCATCAAAGCCCCCAACCGACACTGCCCATTCACTCACTCATTACATTCATACCCATTATACATGTTTTTAGTGGTAGGGAAAACCGGAGTACGAAGAGGAAACCTACGCAGACACGGGGAGAACATGCAAACTCCACACAGAAACCTTCTTGCTGTGACACACAAGCTCTAACCGCTCAATCGGGACAATTGTTGATTAAGAGCTGTTTTTCATGGCTCTTGTGTATGAACATTATCTGTATTTATGTCATTTGTATAAAAAACAAGTATTAATATCATCTATCCCAAAACAAGTTGACAATAAAATGATATACTCTCATTATAGACTGAATAAAATAGTTTTGAATGGTGAAAATGTGATCTCATTATTATGCGGCAGCCTATATTTATCCTGTCAATGCTCAGCTCTGTGTCACAATCACTGTTCCTGTCACTGGTTCTTCTCTGTAACAAGCTGTCAGCACATGTTTTAGGCTTTGAGTACGGCTGAATGTTACAAGACCACTATATGATTCTCCTAACTTCAGATGAGGTCATGACAATACTCAAAATTGGAAAGTAGAGCTGTATTGGATGCAATTTGCTTTTATAGATTTCTGAGCTATTTTGTAGACTTTATTGTTCCCATAGGAAAAATTGACCTCTGGATTTCACCCATTTTTCTACCAGAGCCTGAGGGAAACCTGTCAAGACGATATGGGTGACCACAGTGCAGTGCCTGGGGACCCATGTGCGCATGTTGAACAAGGATTGTTTTTGGTCAGGAGGATCTAAAGCAGAACACATGTTAGCAGCATTGTGAAAAAGTCCCATAAAGTCCCTTACTGAACATTATGCTACATTATTGCACAGCTGCGTGTCATGTGAGATCTGACAAACAGTAAGAAGGATCTTCCCTGAATTTTGAAGAATCCCTAATAGAAACAATAATGAAAAATAAACATTACCCCTGTAGGTTATTGAAGGTACTTTTGCGTTCAATACATTTTCTATTTTTGAAGGGAAATGGAAAATCGAAAAGGCTATTTTGCATTTTCAGGCATACAGCAATATACAAAAATGACCATTTTGGTTTTTTCATTGCCTATAAGACATTATAATAATTGTCCACTCACCTTTGGCCGTCCGCGGGCGGTTATACCCCTCTCTAAGCTCGGGTCCTCTACCAGAGGCCTGGAGCTTGAGGGTTCTGCGCAGTATCTTTGCTGTTCCTAGTGTGGCAGTCGGAGTAGATTTTTAACTTTCAAATAAAAACTGAGGAGTACCAAACAACGCCACCCAGGGCCAGGACCTGGGAAAATGTGAGCTAAATGAATTAAACAAGCGCACAGGGCCGTGGACATTGACGAGACGTGAACAGTGTTAGAAATGTACAAAATTATTTATTTTATTACAATGATTAAAACACTATAGGCCTATAGGAATAGATAAAAATGGTTAAACAGCATTAATTTGTACAGGTTGGACAAATTAAGCAAGCAAAATAATGCAAAAAAAAAAACAATTTACGGGAAGCAAAGGAAATTAATGGGAAACATGCAAACAAATGACAAAAAGGCAAAACAAGCCATGCAAAGACACGAATGCAGCAAAAACATGACAAAAAATACAACTCAAAACACACAAAACAAGCCATGCAGCAAGGGAATGCACAAACAGTGTTCCAAATGAATGCATGGGCAATTTTAATCAACTCCTGTTGAACGCCGATTAGTCGGAGCGCACCATAACGCTCCGCAGAAGACAGCCCCACAGCAGTGCTGGTGCGTGGGCGAAATCAAGTGCGTCCTTTCACGGCACCGTGAAGACATGCACAGTTGGTAGTGTTGTGTATGAGGACAATGATAGACAAAAACCACGAATTTCATTATCTTGGGGCGGCGGCCCCCGCTTGGGACCGCACTGGACATCGTGCCTGCAAAAGGAGAGACACGAGTCTTAGAAGTATTGGAGGAAACTAAACTAAACTTTGATGAACTTACCGGCCAACGCAAGACACGTGCGCACGAACAGCGGAGGAGGGTGAGGAGCCAGGAGGATTATTGGCTGGTCCTTAACTGCAACTCGAAGTCCTGAGCAACAGTTTTTGATGGTCAGCTTTGGCACAGGGCCAACCAATAAAGGATGACAATGAGCAACTACCAGAGGAGAGGACATGCACACACTCACAACCCAGACTGTGGCGCCCAAGTCCACAAGCGTGCTCCACAGAGGAGGCAGCCGGTCACCAAACGCCGTGACCACCGCACGGCCAAACAAAGACATATGCCTGCGTGCTGCGCGTTCCCGGTGACTTTATGGGCACTGCTCGGTGACGCCACCAATCAGCTCAGGGTAAGGTGTACACCGACATGCCACATTCTATCCCCCCCCTAATTGTCGGCGCCCCAGACGACCAACTAAAAGACCAAAAAACTCACAACGAACACTAGACCAAGACAGCAAGTGTGATATCCAGTCAGTCCCCGAGAGTGCGAGGGAGACGATAGGGTTAGGATGACGTCCGAGCAGGCAGTGTCCTGAGTGGTACGACGTAAGCCCTGTTCACTAGTGCTGGGTTCGGAGCACTGCAGCTTCTGTGGTCTCCATGAGCCACCACTGCTACATCCCCTACTGAAACAGGCCGGGTCCGCTGGAAGGACCATCACGGGGTGGCAAGTTGATGTTTGAGGAACCAAATCTTTCGCGTCTGGTGCACATACGCCAAGAACCACAAGGAAGAAGAGCTGCTACAGGGAGTTTCAGGGGAGAAAACACTGGCATAGAGGCCTCCGGTGGGGACGAGGATTGAAATGAGGTTTTAAGCATGTCCCCTGTGCACAGTGCGCCGAGGCTAGTAGATTGGTACCGGGCACCAGTGTAGGTAGGGCCATATCCACCAAGGTGCCTTCAGCACCTGAAAGAGATTATGGTAGCCACAGGTCCGGGATCTTTATGACGCCCTCCGTGCACTAAGGTCCTCAAGGTAACCCAAAGAACCAACATCCAGAGGTTGCCTCCCTAACATGAACATCGTGCCTTTCTTTCCTCTTCTTTCTTCGCATTCAAGCTAATCGCCTCTGCGCGCTTGCAAAAGCAACCTTGACCTGGAACATGTTTCCACCAACCAGTCCTGGACAGTGCCCACAACGGGATCCTGAATTTGAACCCAGAATAAAGGTCAATTGGAGTTTGGCTCTTGGCCAAACATCAATCAAGTATGGTGACTCCCCTTGCTCTGGTGAGTGTGGTGTTTGTAAGAGTACAACACCTGTGGAGACAGCCCAGTCCTGTTTACGGGAGAAATGGGAGCAAATTTATGAAGCGTGCTGGTTGAATCGTTCACATGACCATTACCAGCCGGGTGTTAATGTGTCCAGACTTCTCGACACCATAAATATGGCAAATTTGACTGGAAAACCGCACTTTCCAAAAGCTCGTCCTGTTGTCCTGAGTGTATGCAAATTTTGGTACACCAAACTTAAAGAACCCATTGGTTAGAACGCAACAGTGGGAGCACGTTGGTCTCCAATGTATACTTTGTAGAAAACATCGGTGATTAATCAAAACCTTTTCCCCCGTTACGAGTTGGCTCCAAGGACAGTGAAATCGATGGCCCAAATTTCGTTGGGTATTTGACGCAAGCAAGTGGCCCATGTAGGCTATGAGGAATATTATCTGGTGCGGAGATCCTCGCTGCTTGACAGCGTTCACATTCCCCTGCCACCCACTGCTTGATGTCAGAGGTCATCCTGGGCCAGTACACCTTTGGCGGCACTAGTTCGGTTGTATCTTTCGATGCCCAGATGGCCATGTGCCTCATGGAGCTCCTGGATGACCTGCTGTTTTAAGGTAGCAGGCACAAGGACCTGAAAAATCTCCCTTCAACCCCCATCGGGCCGCCAGGAGCGACGATTACAGCACCCCATCCTGTTCCGGTCAGCCTGTCCCATTGCTGGGAGTAAAGCCAGCATAGGCCTTGGAGAGGCTTTGCCGTTGTTGAGCGGGTGCGGTGGCCCTTACGGTCGCAAAAGAGCCAAGAACTCCGACAGAAAAAAAGTGGAATCTGTCCTCTGGCCCCACTTGAGTGCAAGCAGCTCCAGCTTCATGGAGCTGTAGTTTGTCATATTGCGCTCAGTGGGCCTCAAACCCCTGCTTGCGAATGCCACAGGTCGAATGCCGGATTCAGTCTCCTGGGAGAGCACGGCTCCAAGTCCACTGTAACTGGCATCCGTCTCCAAGATAAAGGGCCGTGAAAAATCGGCATATGCCAGCACCGGAGCAGAAACTAGTTTGGTCTTCAAACCTTCAAAGCTCTCCTCACATTGCAAAGACCATAGGGAACTTAGGGACTGCCCGCATCCCTTCCTGGTCTTGGTACCCGCAAGCGCTGCCACCAGTTTGTGCAGCGGTGCAGCCAATCGGGCAAACCCCTCCACAAAACGCCGGTAATAACTGGCAAAACCCAAAAAGGAGCGTAGCTCTGACAGGTGAGCAGGAAGTTTCCAATGGGCCACAGCATCAATTTTCGACGGATCGGTAGAGACACCCTCACTGGAAATGATGTGGCCAAGATAGCCCACCTCCTGTTTAAAGAAAGCACACTTCTCCAGTTTTGCCTTCAAGCCCTCCTTTTGAAGACGAGCCAAAACAAGTTCCAGTCGCTCCAGATGCTGGGAGACTGATGAAGAAAAGACAACAATGTCATCAAGGTACAGCAACAGCGACTCGCATTGCTTGTCCCAGAACATCCTCTGCATGAGGCGTTGAAAGGTCCCCGGAGCATTGCACAGACCGAAGGGCATTCTGTTCCACTCGAAGAGGCCAAATGGAGTACAGAATGCACTCTTTGGTCTGTCCTGCTCCGCTACCGGGACCTGATTATACCCGCTGGCCAAATCGAGGGTAGAAAACCAGCGTGCCCCCGACAGCGCATCCAAGCTCTCCTCAATGCGTGGCAAGGGAAAGGCATCCTTCCTGGTCTTACCGTTAAGGAGACGGTATTCCACACAAAGGCGCAGACTATCATCTTTCTTTCGGACCAGGACGATGGGTGATGCGTACGGACTATTACTTTCCCTTATTACCTGCGCATTGAGGAGATTGTTTATATGAGCTTTTACAGCTTCATACTCGGATGGTGGAATACGTCGGTAACGCTGCCGGATGGGGATTTCGTCGAGCAGGGGTATTTCGTGGGCAATCAAGTTGGTGCATCCCAGATCACCCTCATGTGCCGCAAACACATTGCTGTATCTTTGCAGCAGAGCCCTCACCTCTACCTGTTCTTCCGGACTCAAGGCGGACAAGTCTCAACCTTACCCTGCATAAGGTCGTCTGTCACTTGGGGGGGTGTCGTGGCTGAGATGGCATTAACTTCCACAACTCCTGATGGCAAACTCACCACATCAGCCCAGCTCAAGGCACCTAAACTGGTGCGAGGATAGAGGAGTGCATCTGACGTCCCCACGTTGACAACGGGGGTGTAAACTGTGCCCTTGTCGACATGCACAAGGCAGGGGGATGCCAGTAGACCAGCAGGTAGGCCAGACTGAGGAGGCTCAAATAGGACAGACTGACCAGCAAACTGCTCGGGGCAGGTGCTTGGGACCAACTTCATGGTGCCCCCTGATATCCGAACCGCTCGCGGACCTCGCACATTAACAGCCCCGATCAATGTTTCGGTGGACTGAGCAGCTGCATAGTGGCATCTTTGCAAAGCCTCTACAACTGTCCCTGGAGCCTGGGCCACGGCGGGAGAATCGAACAGAGAGGACCCATGGGAACCAAAGAGCTCCTTGTAACAACGATGAATAACGTTCATCCCCAAAATACCGGGAACAGAACAACCAGTGCCAGGGGGATCGCGCACCACCAAGATGCCACAGCGGGGGACATTCTTACCACAAAGGGCCACATCTAGCTCCAAGTAACCTATATATGGAATCTCAAGCCCATTAGCAGCACGCAGTTGTAACCAATGGCAGGAGTGGAGACGATCAGGGCCCCAGGGTTCGAAATGTTCCCTAAAGAAACGTTCAGTTATTGTGGACACCATAGAACCTGTGTCCACCAAGCTAACAACCTGAACCCCTCCCATATCTACAGTGACTGTTGGGCATGACGCCATTAATTCTGTGTATCCATTTACCTGCGAGCCGGTAGAGGCCCCTTCTGAACGTTGGCTCCGCAGTTCAGAGGGCTTCAGTTTTCCGAATGGTTGGCATTTGAAGATCTGATGGCTGAAGTGGCCCGTGAGGGGCGGTAAACTCTCACACCATCACATTCACTGGCATAGTGACCAGGCTGTTCGCACCTACGGCAGATAATGGCAGTTCGTGGAGGTGTATTTTGCCGAGGAGCTTTCAAAGAGGCGACTGTTTGAGTCAACTGGTTAAGTTGATCTTGCTGACGTTTAAGCAGTTCCATCACCTCATTTAGCCCCGGGTTTGGAGTAGGTGAGGCCTGAGTGGGGCGTGTGGAACCCCTGACCTCAAACTGGAGGCCACGAACCGAAGGAAGAGAGAAGCTACGCTCTCTAAAAGGGGCTGGGAGTCCCTCCCGCTCCCACCTGAGGGCCTCTGCCCTTACTTGGAGTAAAGTGGCTGTCGGATTGTCCCGAATGAACCGTTTCAAGTCTCTGCGTAGAGCGCTATCAAATACATGTTCAGTGAATTGGTCGCGAAGGAGCACATTGGAGTTGGGCACTCTGTCTGGGGCACGCTGCTTTACCTGGTCCATTAAAGCCATTAGAGCCAGTGAGAACTCTTGTAAAGTCTCGCCTTCCTCCTGACGCCTGGAGAAAAATGCTTGCTGCAGGTTCACATATGGCTGCACACAACCATAGAGCTCCTGAAGTATCTCTGTAACTCTCTTTGGGTTTTCCCGCTCTTCTGCTGGACGAAATTTTATTTCAACTTTAGCTTCACCCTCCAGGTGATCAAAGAGGAAGAATGCCTGCTCAACAGTAGAAAGGTGCCTAGCTCGCATGCATGCCTGTGCTTCCTCAAGCCATTCACTCAAAGACAGGCCAGACTTACCATTAAACAAGGGGCATTTACGGTCACATGCCATCACAAACACACGCTCTGTGGAGGGGGTACGAGAGCCCAGTGACCGGGCCTGGTCGGAGGAGACGTCGAGAGCATGGAAAGCCCCAGCAGGGCCGGCCTGAGGCGCAGCCCTCTCCTGGCGAAGACGCTCATTGTCCGCCTCTAGCTGAGCCAGTTGCTCTCTGAGCTGCTGCATCTCCTCCTCCATTCTGACCAAGAGCACCTGTAATGCGACCTTTGGGTAAGCTGTAAACAAAAGTAATTTCACTGACCTGAACTTTTGCGCTCCTGAAAGGGGAAACCGTTGCTTTGTCCAGACAAAGGTAACTCAAAAAAAATGTAAATGTATGAGTGAAGCAATAAACACATTTATAACTTCAACAAACAAGTTTAAACACTGTTCACATCTCAGTTTTAAATGTCCAATCCTGCCAACAGCAACGCCAAGTGTGGCAGTCGGAGTAGATTTTTAACTTTCAAATAAAACTGAGGAGTACCAACAACGCCACCCAGGGCCAGGACCTGGGAAAATGTGAGCTAAATGAATTAAACAAGCGCACAGGGCCGTGGACATTGACGAGACGTGAACAGTGTTAGAAATGTACAAAATTATTTATTTTATTACAATGATTAAAACACTATAGGCCTATAGGAATAGATAAAAATGGTTAAACAGCATTAATTTGTACAGGTTGGACAAATTAAGCAAGCAAAATAATGCAAAAAAAAAACAATTTACGGGAAGCAAAGGAAATTAATGGGAAAACATGCAAACAAATGACAAAAAGGCAAAACAAGCCATGCAGCAAGACACGCATGCAGCAAAACATTAAATGCAAGCAAATCAAACAAACTCAAAACACACAAAATAACTCACCAAACAAAGGGGGTTAATCTAGGGAATGCACAAAAGTGTTAAAATGTCCTTCCCTGTAATGCATGGGCTATTTAATCATCACTCCTGTTGAAAACGCCGTTTAGTTGGAGCGCACCTGAACGCCTCGCAGAAGACGCCCCACAGCAGTGCTGGTGCGTGGGCGAATCAGAGTGCGCCTTTCACGGCACCGTAAAGACAGTGCACAGTGTTGAGTGTTGTGTATGAGGACAATGAATAGACAAAACAACGATTTCTTTTCTGGGGCGGCGGCCCCCGCTTGGGACCGCACGTGGACATCCGTGCCTGCAAAAGGAGAGACACGAGTCTTAGAAGGATTGGAGGAAACTAAACTAAACTTTGTGATCTTACCGGCCAACGCAAGACTCGTGCGCACGAACAGCGGGAGGAGGGGGAGAGCCAGGTGGATTATTGGCTGGTCCTTACTGCAACTCGAAGTCTGAAGCAACAGTGTTTGATGGTCAGCTTTGGCACAGGGCCAACCAATAAAGGATGGACAATGAGCAACTTACCGAGGAGGAGGACATGCACACACTCACAACCCAGACTGTGGCGCCCAAGCCCACAAGCGTGCTCCACAGAGGAGGCAGCCGGTCACCAAACGCCGTGACCACCGCACCCAAACAAAGACATATGCCTGCGCGCTGCGCGTTCCCGTGTCTTTATGGGCACTGCTCGGTGACGCCCACCAATCAGCTCAGGGTAAGGTGTACACCGACATGCCACACTAGCACTGCACATTTCTGGACCGAGATGTCCGAGGTTGTTCCGGGGATCCGCTGTAACCACTCTTCTAGCTTCGGGGTCACTGCCCCGAGTGCACCGATCACCACGGGCACTACTGTCATCTTTACCCTCCAGGCCCTCTCCAGCTCCTCTCTGAGACCTTGGTATTTCTCAAGCTTTTCATGTTCTTTTTTCCGGATGTTACCATCGCTTGGAATTGCCACGTCCACCACCACGGCTGTCCTCTGCCCTTTGTCTACCACCACAATGTCAGGTTGGTTCGCCATTACCATTCAGTCGGTCTGTATCTGGAAGTCCCACAGGATCTTTGCACGCTCCTTTTCCACCACCTTTGGAGGAGTTTCCCACTTAGACCTTGGGGTTTCCAGCCCATACTCTGCACAGATGTTTCTGTACACTATGCCAGCCACTTGGTTATGGCGTTCCTTGTAGGCCTTCCCTGCCAGCTTCTTGCACCCTGCAGTTATGTGTTGGATCGTCTCAGGTGCCTCTTTGCACAACCGACACCTTGGGTCTTGTCTGGTGTGGTATATCTGGGCCTCTATCGCTCTGGTGCTCAGTGCCTGTTCCTGTGCAGCCATGATGAGTGCCTCTGTGTTGTCCTGTAGGCCAGCCCTTTCTAGCCATTGGTAGGACTTCTTTAGATCAGCCACTTCTGTTATGCTCCGGTGGTACATGCCGTGTAGGGGCTTGTTCTCCCATGATGGGCTCTCCTCCAGCACCTCCTCATTTCGCCACTGCCTGAGACATTCACTGAGTACGTCATCCGTTTTGGCCTTCTCCATGATGTAGTTATGGAGTTTGGATGTTTTGTCCTGGACAGTGGCTCTCACACTCACTAGTGCTCGGCCTCCTTCTTTACGGCTTACGTACAGTCTCAGGGTGCTGGATTTGGGATGGAACCCGCCATGCATCGTAAGGAGCTTTCGAGTTTTAACATCTGTGGTCTGAATCTCTTCCTTTGGCCACCTGATTATTCCTGCAGGGTATCTGATCACTGGCAGGGCGTAGCTGTTAATTGCCCGGGCCTTGTTCTTGCCATTGAGCCGGCTTCTTAGGACCTGCCTTACTCGCTGGAGGTATTTGGCAGTTGCCGCTTTCCTCGTCTCCTGTTCGAGGTTGCCATTTGCCTGTGGTATACCGAGATACTTGTAACTGTCCTCAACGTCTACTATTGTTCCCTCTGGGAGTGAGATCCCTTCTGTGTGGACTACCTTGCCTCTCCGAGTCACCATCCTGCTACATTTCTCGAGTCCGAATGACATCCCGATGTCATGGCTGTAGATCCTGGTTGTTTGGATCAGAGAGTCGATGTCTCTCTCGCTCTTGGCGTACAGCTTGATGTCATCCATGTAGAGGAGGTGACTGATCTTTTCTCCGTTCCTGAGGCGGTATCCATAGCCAGTCTGGTCAATTACTTGGCTTAGAGGGTTGAGGCCTATGCAGAACAGTAGTGGGGACAGAGCATCTCCTTGGTAGATACCACATTTGATGGTCACTTGTGCGAGCGGCTTGCCATTTGCCTCAAGGGTGGTCTTCCACATTCCCATCGAGTTTGCAACGAAGTCCCTTAGAGCCCTGTTGATATTGTACAACCTCAAGCATTCCATGATCCATGTGTGTGGCATTGAGTCGTAGGCTTTCTGGTAATCAATCCAGGCTGTGCACAGGTTGGTGTGTCGTGACCGGCAGTCTTGGGCGACTGTTCTGTCAATCAGGAGCTGGTGTTTGGCTCCTCTGGTGTCTCTACCAATGCCCTTCTGTGCTGTGCTCATGAATTGTTCCATATGCCCACTTATCTTAGCCGCAATGATGCCTGACATGAGCTTCCATGTTGTGGAGGTCTTGTCTGGTGTGGTATATCTGGGCCTCTATCGCTCTGGTGCTCAGTGCCTGTTCCTGTGCAGCCATGATGAGTGCCTCTGTGTTGTCCTGTAGGCCAGCCCTTTCTAGCCATTGGTAGGACTTCTTTAGATCAGCCACTTCTGTTATGCTCCGGTGGTACATGCCGTGTAGGGGCTTGTTCTCCCATGATGGGCTCTCCTCCAGCACCTCCTCATTTCGCCACTGCCTGAGACATTCACTGAGTACGTCATCCGTTTTGGCCTTCTCCATGATGTAGTTATGGAGTTTGGATGTTTTGTCCTGGACAGTGGCTCTCACACTCACTAGTGCTCGGCCTCCTGAATGAATTGTTCCATATGCCCACTTATCTTAGCCGCAATGATGCCTGACATGAGCTTCCAGACAGGCAGGTTATTGGCCGGTAGTTGGAGGGGACTGCACCCTTGACAGGGTCCTTCATGATCAGGACCGTTCGCCCTTCGGTTAGCCATTCTGGGTGAGTCCCATCTCTCAGCAGCTGGTTCATTTGTGCTGCTAGGCGCTCATGGAGTGATGTGAGTGTCCTTAGCCAGTAGGCATGGACCATATCAGGGCCAGGTGCTGTCCAGTTTTTCATACCTGAGACTCTTTCTCGGATGTCTGCCTCTGTGATGGTAACTGAGTTCTGTTCTGGGAGGTGGCTGTGCTCCTCTCTCAGGGACACCAGCCATTGTGCACTTCTGTTATGTGCTGCATCCTTCTCCCATATGTTCTTCCAGAACTGTTCAGTTTCCAGCCTCGGTGGGTCTGCTCCCCTGTTGTTACCCTGCCACTGAGCGTACACCTTCGCAGGTTGTGTTGCGAACAGCCTGTTCACCCTTCTGGCTTCATTCTCTTTAGTGTACCTGTGTAGGCGGCTGGCCAGGGCTTGGAGCCTTTGTTTGGCAGTTTCGAGTGCTTCAGGTATGGTCATCTGGCTGTACTCTCTGGGTACTGGTCTTTTCATTGCACCTCTCTGGGCCTCTGTTAATTGACTTAACACCTTAGCCTCCAACCGTCTTTTCCATGATGGGTATTGTCCATGGCTCCCATGGTTGCTCTTATAGCCAAGCATCTCTAGGATCACTGCTGCTGAAGTGTATATCAGCTCATTGGTTTCAGTGATTGTGGTGGTAGGTATTGCCCTCACTGCTGCATTCACGCTTTCTATGAGATCCTTAGGTGGTATTTCACACAACCGCTGCAACCGGTGTCTTTGCCCTGTATTATATATATATATATATATTATAATAACCGGATTTGGGAACTAGAAAATGCAATAATTAACCTTTTTTTTATTATGTATTTAATACATTTCGGCGTCAATCGATTACCCGGAAGAGAAACAAGTTTGTTTACGTCAGCCCTATTTGCTCTAATTTGGTATAATTTAATGCGCAAATGACCTCCTGTGATAATACTAATCCCGAGAGAATCTACATGTCAGTGATTGTGATCGCTTTCGCTTGACTTTCTGCGATGTTTTTGTCAATGAGCAAAGGAGTCGCAGCTGCTGCTGTCTCTGTGAGGTTTATGGAGAAGTGTAGAGGACAGTGTAATGAGTTCACTGACACTAAATGATCAGACCGATGGGATGCAATTTGTACATTTACTTTCCACTATGTCCTAAACTTACAGACGTGTTGCTGCATGCGTTACTATTTGTCGGCTCGCACTTATCTTAGCAGAGTAAGTGGTTCACTAGTAGTCCATATAAACTATTATTAAACATTACAGACAGCATGGGCCAGAGAACTGTAGAGCAGTAAAATGTTTGTCCTCATGGTCCCTGTGGCTGCTGTGGTCAGACGCCAGACTTTATGAAGTGCGTGAAGCGGGGAAACCCGCGCACATGCGGCCGTTATGTGAGATTTCAGTGAAAATACACGTCCTCTGTGAATAACACACATTATCAGGGGTCCACAGGTTATACTAATCCTGTGCGAGTAAACAAACTTGTTTCACTTCCGGGTAATCGATTGACGCCGAAATGTATTAAATACATGATAAAAAAAGGTTGATTATTGCATTTTGTAGTTCCCAATTCCGGTTATTATAATATATATATGTCTTATAAGCAATGAAAAAACCCAAAATGGTCATTTTTCTATCTATGTGCCTGAAAATGCAAAATAGCCTTTTTTCGAATTTCCATTTCCCTTCAAAAATAGAAAATGTATTGAACGCAAAAGTACACGGACCCTTAAAGTTATTTATTTGATATCTGAGAATTGGGTCGAAAACTCTCATCTAGAAAATACAATAATAGCTTTATTTCGGGGAACCAGTGAATAAATCACAACTCATAACGTACGATGTCACGCTATCCATTAATCGGCTCATTTATAGATATGTATGATCAGTAAACATGTGAGTCCTTAATTACTTAATCAGCTATAAGTCCAATTCTCTTCAACAGAATATGAAGGTGTGAATCTTTGTACAAATCAGTGACCTCATTTCAGCCCAAATATCACTTTCATATTTATTGTAGGCAGTACATACAATAAATATTAGATATGAAATATGCAAATTGTCAAGAACAACAAGAAAACCCTGCTTGCAAGATACATGGTTATACTGCATATGTACAGTATATGGTTAAAATACTACGGCTGAGGTGATAAGGCTGAGGTGTGGAGATTGGTCCTTCTGAATGAGTTCTTGCTCTTTGGGAAGCAAGAGCTCTAGATTGTGTCCGTGTGAGAGAACATCTGTGCACTGTACATACGGCCAGTTTGTGGGTTGCTTCATGGTTCCGTGTCCAGGCCCTGGTCCGTGGTCATCAGGCCCATAGCAGCAGGCCATCCTGAGCCGATGGTTTAAGATGACTCAGAAGTATAGACGGTCAGGCCTCTCGGTCCTCCACTTTCCTCTGGAGGATCGAGAGAGCACAGAGATAATGTTCTTCCCAGGAAAACCTTCTTTCAATGAGAGTTTCTAAAAGGAGTTGTGAGAGTTTTGTCACTTCTTGGGCCGCCTCATCAGTGCTGAGGAAGAGCCGCATACATTAAGACAGAGATGACCCAAAGTTATGTGGATAAGTCTCTATTTTAAAACACAATGCAAAATGAGAGGGACTTTCCCGGTGCACAATAGATTAAGATTAAGAAATTCTATATTTGTCCCACAGTGAGAAAATGTCACACAGCACACAGCAAAAAATAAGTGAACATATATACTATTGTATATACTAATATACTAATACTAAAGTGTCTACCTTTAGCATAGTAAAGAAGCAACTATAAAATGTCTAACTTTAGCATAAAAATTAACCAAGTATAAAATCTGTATCTTTAGCGTAATAAAGAAGCAAGTGTAAAATCTCAAACTTTAGCATAATAAAGAAGAAAGAATTATGTATACAATCTCTAACTTTGGCATGATAATTAAGCAAAACTAAAATACTGTTTATTCCAGTGAAAGACATATGTAGTTGAATGTACACATCTGTACCTGTTGGCAGGATGAGGATATAGGACAAAGTGACCAAATGAGGTGACAGTGAACACATGTGGCTGTATATTGCACATTCTGACATTATTAAAATTATTATTGCACCTATGAGTAAAGTAAAGAGACAGTGAATAAGCCATGCCTTCTTGGAATAACCTACAATTGTCATTTTTTGTTCCAGATGAATAATCCCTCCACTTAAACTGAATCTTCTTATAATCCCCATTTCCCTTTAAACTTCAGTAGATAAATTGTTATATAAGCACAGAAAGACACACAAACAGGTTTGCTCACAGTGGGCATG